CAAAACAGTGTCTCTGCTGAGGCTCGAATTATGCGCAGCGTTGCTGTTAGCTCATTTCAAAGATCAGAAAATCCATTCCTCCGGAACACTCTGAAGTGTCCCTTTAGTTCGACTCCACTATTACTCTTACTTGAATAGGATCGCCGTCCTGAAAATTATCAACCTTTATTGCAAATCGAGTCGGCGTAGTACAACGGCTCACCGCTATCGAGAATTGGTGTCACGTTAGCTTTTTTAACAACCCGGCTGACGTTTTGTCGCGTGGTGTGAACTCCGATCTGATCAGTTCGACTTTAGTGGCATAGACCCTCCTTTCTGCAAATTCAGGACGACCTATGGCCGCACCGTAGCGTAGCTCTATTAGAAGATGAGATTCTCGAACAAAAGAAAATAATCTCAACCGCGACTACGACGAATAGTTATATCGTTAACGAGTTGTTATCCCGATGTTCTCGCATCAACAAGATCATACCAATTGTAGCCAATTGCCTAAGATTTTCAAAAAAACGCCCCAGCGTTCCATTAATCCTAATATCCACGGCAGAGTCATTACACGCGTTAAGCCTAATATATAGAATCGTGTAAAAACAATCCTTTATTAGGAAATACAAAGCATTACAGATGGGTGAAGTCACTTCTCCTAGTCGCATATTGACGCTAGCACTCTTTATAGATGATTTAGAAGTGATACGAATTGGAAGCAGATTAAACAATTCAAGTTTATGGTACACGTCACCCGATACTGCTGCTGCACAATCATGTGCTCATTCAGTTAATAATAGAACAAGAACATATTTGAAATTTGCACACAGGCCACCTGGCAGGTGTGAAACAAAAATTCTGGCCTCTATCTTTATTTTTGGCTACCCGTAAGACGATTCAAGATTGTATAACTTGCTTCAAGATTAAACCGCTCCACTCCGTGGCTATTATGGGTTCGTTGCCTGAAGGCCGTGTTATCAGACCATTTTCACACTATAGCGTCGACTACACCGGACCGGTCTTAGAGAGGGCAACGCGCGAAATCATAAAGCATCAATTTTTGTTTGTTTCGCCACTAGACTAAGGCCATACAGTGGAGCTCGAGAGCGACCTAACTTCTGACTCCTTTTTCGCGGCATTTAAATCGCGAAAGGACAAACCGTCTCAAATGTACTCCGACAATGGAACCACTTTTGTAGGCGCTCGAGGACAACTCAAAGAGCTTTACGAAACTTATTATAGTTAGCAAGTCCAATTGAGCATGCAACAATTTTTGCATGAGCAGGAGATTTTATGGAATTTTATTCCACCGAACGCACCTCACTTTGGCGGTTTATGGGAGGCCGCCGTCAAATCAACAAAACACCATCTCGTATGTATCTCGTATTGATAAATTTATTGTTATTGATTAATTATTATCCTGCAACTTATCCATTTTATTACACTGTCGATATACAATGCTAATGAAACCGGTAAATAAGAGTTATAAATGCAATAAATAAGAGCCTTCTATCTGAAAATAGGAAAAGGAGATTTTTTGAGGCAATGACGTATCTCACATAAAAATTCGACATTTCGGATTTTGCATGATTTCGCATCACGATATGTCCGTTCGTAGGACATATAGATGTAAAATAAACACTTATTATATAATTCGGACCCAAGCTATCGATTGAGCTTATATTTACTTAGAAGTTGATTGGTGCAACTTTTATTGAAAAACCGATAATCTCGGATGCTCACAACTCGCTGATCCGCGTAAAGGAGACGGTCTCACGCTGCGCGTTTACTTGATGCGAGACATTACCGTATCTTTTGATTTGATGGCATTCTCCTTCTTGCACGCCGAGCAGCAAGACAAGGACATGTTGTTATTACATTTTAATTATTTTTAGTGTGGACTAGTGTTTATGCATTACAGATACGACATTTGTGTGCACATGTGTTGACACGTGTGTGCACAATCGCCTCAAAGGTTTTTTTCTTCAGAGAGCACGCGCGGAGAGACGTATTCGTAGATATGCGATTAACTTTCTAGCGTGATTGTAGCCGAAGTATCTTATATACATACTCTGCGTGAATTTATACACATTCTGATTCTGAAACTTCGCGTAGAAACACGACGTTCATTTACTGATTTGGTTATTGCGAGAAATATTAAAAACTTGATGATTTAACGGTGAAGACGCATGGAATGTAAGAGATCCAGGTTTGATCCTCGGTCGAGGTAATGTTTTTCGCAATAAATTATTCGTAGGTATAAGGCTTTAATTAAAGACCTAATTATGGATATTCTTATTAAAGATGCTTATTAGTATCAAAAAAGTTATTAAATTTCTTATACAATTCAATAATTAATAAATAACAATAAATAAAGGGCAAAGTAAGAGTCAAACATATTTTTTAAATTGTCACACAATTAAAAAGAATAAATTACAAATAAAGAAAAGTAAAATTGAAAAAAATAATAAAAAACTCAGTTTAAATTCAAATAATTACAAGTTTCGGCTATAGGATTGAGCCCTCTTCAGACATTAACTCATCATAAAAATCGCTGTACAAAATTAATTATCGAAAATGCCGCATATTCACTATAATCACAGCTCGGGTGAGTCTTGATGTAGAACTCGACATTATTCACATACGATTGAACAGTCAAATGTGTTTCATATCTCTTGGAAAAAGTTCTAATTGATAAAAAAGATAAAAAGACTTCTTACGAAAAAATAAACAATCAAATTAACATATCGAAATTCTAACAAGTAATTAAAACTTACCAAAAGTCCATGTGTAAATTATTCAAACAAGTGCGTCCATATAAGTATGAAAACGCATTAGAATATACAAAATTTAGTGGTATGCAGATGTGTAAAACGGACATTGTGTATCGATTATAATGTACACTCGCTGATATGGATCAACACGGACTGAAAGAGGAGACGAACTATCAGTATCGAAGAGTTAAACTTTATTTACAATAGATATATATGCCTTATGAAGACCTTCAGTTTGTAAATTTAATATTTTTTTTTAATATTAAGCGTCTCAGAAATTAAGCGTTTCCTATAGCAAAGCTCTTCATCCAAAATTTTAACATTGTCCCGTTGGAAATCATGATCATACTGCAGCCTGTGCTCCGTTATGACAAAATGGACAGAAGTTTTATGTTTAATATGATTACGATGTTCTGTAATTCTGGTTTTCAATTGTCTGCCCGTCTGTCCAACGTACGACGCATCACAATTATTACACTTAATCTTATAAACTACATTGCTCTTAGATGTATGAGGACAAATATCCTTTTGTACTTTAATATATTTACTCATTTTATTAGGACTACGAAAAGATACCCTAATGTCATTTTTATTGAATCGTTTAAATTTCTCTGTGTGAAAAGGAATAAATGGTATCGTAAGCCAAGATGCAGATTCATTTGCATAGACATTGTCAACCAATCTTTACGTACTATGTGTTTATTTTTAAGTAAATTTTTTATACGTTGATTAATTGTGTCAGAAATAAAAGTTAATGGGTAGTCATTATCTAATAAAACGTTAATAATAAATGTCAAATTTTTTGTGTGAAACATAAAGTCATAAAGTTAAAAAGCTTTGTCAACTAGCGAAAAAATTGTACCTTTCTTTTGTGCAATTGGATGATTTGAGGGGAAATTTAAAAATCTCCCTGAGAAAGTAGGTTTGCGGTACCAATAAAAAACGAATCGATTCTTATTAATAAATACAGTAGTATCCAAAAAATCTAATTTTTTTCTCCCTATTTCTATAGTAAATTGAAAACGTGGATGAAATGAATTAAAACGTTGTAGCAAAATATCAATTTTTGATGGAGAAACTGCAGTGTGACAAATGTCACACTACATATCTATGATAAAATAAAATGTCCACATTCAACGACATTCAAGGACACCGTCTCTAATCTCCTCATTACTAGGTCCGCTATTACAGGTGATAAAGGAGAGTCCATGGGAGTGCCGAAGCTTTGCTTATAAATTTTTTGTCAAGTGAAAAAAAGATGAATTCTAAAACAAACCGTCGCTCCCAGAAATTCATTCTTAGGCAGATAGTATTCCTTAGAAATGAAACTCCATTGTTCATTCGCACAATCAACCGCATATCTATTGGAACATTCGTAAAAAGTGAGATAACGTCCAAGGAAATTAATTTATATTTACCTGTATATTCTTTTTAATTTATCAACTAACTGGAAGCTATTTTTAATATAACTATCCGCCTTAGGAATTGTCTGGAATAATATATGTGCAAATATGTAGCTAATGCGTATAGCGGACTGCCTATCGATGAAACAATAATTCTGAGATGACAACCCGGTTTGTGAATCTTCGGCAATCCATAGATTCTCGGAAGTAATTCGTCACTACAATATAACAGTTATACTTAGAGTCTTTGATATAATCTTTCATTTTTTAGTTTTCTAATGAGCATAGACCTTAGAGCTGTCGTAAGTTTTTTGGTAGGATCTTTCTTAATAGGTACATATGTGTCTGAGTCACCTAATAATGTGGTTATTTTATTTATATATGTGTCTTTGTTCATAGCAACCGTGACGCAGTGATGGCATGTGACAAGAATTCGTCTGCTCTAGGAAACTTTGTCCACATGCATAAAATTGAGCAGTGTTAACTGACGTACACATTTCATAGTATTATAAGACCCCTAATAACGATATTAAGAAAGTTGTAGGAAGAAAAGGAAGGTTTTTTTAAAAGATACATAGTGTGTTCATGAACAATAATAAATTTTGTCTTTTATTACATCTGCAGCCGATTTATCATATGAATACTAACATATCGTTCGGAGAGATAGCATTCGAGAAAACCATTATAATGACGTACAGTACTTAAGAGATTAAAAGAGGAATAATTTCTATAACCTTCATTACTATAACCTTAATTTAGGAAAAAATTTGGAACGGGTTGTAAAGCGGGACAAAGTGTTAAAATTTGAGATTGTTCCTCCTAATTTGGAATGGTTGATCGCTTAGATGTACAGCAAAAGCACTCGTATTCCATATTGCTCCGTATGTTCCATCATTGGATCGAGTTGCCACGTCATTTTCTGCATGCGCATAAAGTTTACTAGAGCAGATGAATTCTTGTCACCTCTCATTACTGCCGTGACGTTACCTTTGTCAGCATGCGTGAAAATAATATTAGGATGCGCCAATATAAATTTACATGTGTCAGATTCCAATTTTAATAGTTGTTTATCAATAGGAGATGTAAAAATAGGAGAAGAGATGATATTCAAGATTGGAATAGAATGGTTCGTAACTTCAATTCTCTTATCGATGGGCATTCTTTGTGTGCTACGCTCAACACTCTTTATGCAATCGAAGATTATCTTATTCTTGTTATTGAAAGAAAGCGCAAAATTCTTTCCAAATTGTAAAAAACATTGAATGTTATAAGGAATGTCAAAGGAAGATAAGTTCATAAACCATCCATCTCTGACAGTGGGAAGATGAATTCTGTGAAGAAAAAGCATTGGAGTGTATGGAAATAAACGAACTAGGAATCATACTCTGGTTCTGTGAACCAGAAGGAGGATTAGTAGTAGTAGTAGTAGTAGTTTATTACGTGCTCACCAACGTGATTACACGGACTTCCATTATATACAATACATCTTAAATATACATATACATTTCTTGCTTACTTTACATTAAACATTTACCTCATCTACCTTTACGCATACAAATCTACAAATTCATACTCACATTCATACTCATTTACATTTTATGTCTCTCACTCACTCATGTCGGTCTCACTCACTCTCTCTCTCTCTCTCTCTCTCTCTCTCTCTCTCTCTCTCTATATATATATATA